ATAAGAAAAGCTAGATAAAGACGCAACAGCACCAAATCCGCTCTTACGCTACCAAAAAAGGACCACATAAAAAAAGAAAAACACGGAAGAAACTATTTTTCTGTCAAGTAACAACTAGTTCATCTGCAAGGCACTCACGTCAACTTTTTTGATGAAGCCTGGAAAGAGGGGATAGCGATTGACGGCGATTACAGGAACTATCGGCCAATTTTCGGGAACAGTGATAGTCGACATTGACTAAACGGGACTATAATCATAAACATGGGACAGATTTGACGAACGTCCCAAAACTGAAAATAAAGCGAAGCATTCTTAAGAAACTGTACCCCTCCAGTATTTAAAATGTCTTCCACTTTTTCTACTAAAGCAGCCTCTTCAGCTTTTTCTTTAACCTGAGGGTCATCGCCACTTTTTGAGCCATCATCTCTGTTAGATGCACTGAAAAACACCAAACTTTTAAAAAAAAACAATGTAGTAGAGCATGAAAGCTGCAAATTTTGTGAGATTTAGTAAAATAATAACCTTGACCGAACAACCTCAGAAGTGATAAACCTCACTTTGAACTATACTGTCGATATGTCCGCAAGAAGGAATCTGATGACCATGGAATGCATGAGCAAGACCTGTCAAAGCTAGCAGAGACCGACATAGCCGAACGGCGGCTTAGTAAGTTTAGAGAACAACGTAAAGCTGAAAGCCGCCACAAGCTCCGCGCACTCCGCACCACGCTTAGCGACATCCTCATTTAAAAAGCCAAGTTCGCCGAGTAACGCCTTAAAAAATGTACAAAAAGAGGCTCAAAATAAACACAACGAGAATCACGTTCTTATCCGTGTTCTACGCTCCATGGTATACTCGATAACGCACCCGTCCTGACGCAAATTATAATTCATCAAAGAACAAAAACACCACTACTTGCAAAACAGGCTCCTATTACTACAACAAAATTTCATAAGCCTAAATAAAAAAAAAACCACCATTCATTGCAGTTCAACAGCATAAAAAGTTATACAGTATCAGGACAAGTAGATTACAACCACAGTGGAAAGTAAACTTCTCGACAAACAAGACGAACAAGACAGACCATTATCAACTGATTTTGCCTCAAAGTCCTAGCGATGCTCGAATAACCCTCCTCAAACAACTCCCAATAAATACAAAAAGGAAAGATAAATAAAAATAAAGAATTTAAAAATTCCACGACAGTTCTATGGCTTTTACCGCAGTATTTAACCATCACAAGTAAAAAGAACGTGTAAAATCAGTGTTTAAGAAAACTTTTATTCAAACAGTTCGCAAAAATAACAAATAACATGATCAAACTGACAACAGAACAAAAGTCAGCTTAACGGAAAAGAGAAAAAATGAAAGAAAGAAACAAAGGAATGACTCCTAAAAAAAAAAAGAAAACCATTTCACAGATACAATCAAATTTTCAGTAAAGTGTACTTGAAAAAAAGACCTACAAAGTCCGGAAACAAAATGATTGGTACAAACAAGAGGCCCGGAAACAAATTACTACATTAGAACAGCCAAAAACTTGAAGAGATAAAATAATCAATAATCAAACAAACATCAGCAGCAAATAACCGTTCAAAATGATATGAACGTTATGAGGACTGAAAAGTCCACACTTGTTAACGCGTCTTTTTTGTATCCTTCTCACGCTTTTTAGATGACGAAGACATACTAAGAGGTTGCCACTGAAAAAATGTTACACTGGCATGCAACGTCAAAATACCGACGTTTTTTCTAAATAAATCGTAAATTTCCTTTTCGGTTTGTAACAGATGCAAGTTATCAAACTTGTAGTCAATCTTATTAGGAATGACAAAACTAATCAATTTATCAAGATTTTAACAATTTCTAGAAAGTAAAATACAGTTATATTCAGCTTACATGAATTGGGTTTTGCCTCAAAAACGGCCAAGGAGGAACGACAAGAAGAACTGATAGCAATAACCCAATACCTAAAGTGTATATAGCGACAGACAGCTGTTGTGTAATATACCCAAGTATAAAACCGATTATGGCGAACAGTACCAGAATTACCTGGAATTATGCAATTACGAAACCCCATCACAACCATCCGTAGAAGCAGAAAACAAAATTAATCAATACGCTTTCTTTAATAGAGTAAACAAAAACACCAATTTTTAGTTAAAAACCATAGACAAAGAAAGTGAAAAAAAAATAAACCAAAAGCGACTAATTTTAACACCAAAAACAGATCACAAAAATACTATAATGTTTAACCTGGTAAATTCTTTCTGCCTTCCTTTGTCCAACAAAATCAATATAAGTTGAGAACTGCCGTAAGGGTGCTGGTAACATCTGTATTACCCCGTCCATTTTTATTATCTGACAAATAAAAATAAATTAAGAAATAAATTCATGGCGGCATCAAAAATACGAATCTTTCAGCACATATTTGATTTTAATATACGACTGTCCATCTGATAACCGATTTTCACGCACTGAACTATAAACCCAAACTGAAAACAAAGAACTAAGTTTACTACTGGTAACAGAGGAAATCAGAACACACAAAATTCCCTTAATAATTATAAATTCGGCTGCCAGGAAAAAAATAGCACCAAAATGAGAAATTTTTTCAAACCAGATTCTAACTGCTTCTGAATTTTCTGCGCAATCTATCTTAGTTAATTAACTGAGCAGGAAAAGAAGACACAGCCAGAAAATGATAGCCCCAATAATTTTGGCAAATTTTGCGAGACCTGAACTGACTTGTCTGGTAAACCTAGCTTATTTATTCATTTTCTTAGCAAAGCCTTCCTGGCCCTTCTCCTAATATAGGTGAAATTGCCTAAAAATTTCTTTTTTAAAATTATCTACAAGTCCCGTGCAGAATGCGCACAGACTTATAAAAAAAACTCCCACACAAAAACACTGAAAACAAAAGTTAAAAAATTCTACCTCAGCCTAAACCACATCCAATAAGAGCGACAAAGGCCGCATATACCTCCACTTGTCCGTGGCTACTACAGTGAAATCGTCTTTCAACGTCAGTAGTTTAACAATTGAAAAAAACAGATTATTCTGATAATGAAGTGATGAACTGTCAGAAGCCATCAAAAAGTTATGAGTGTTGCTCGTAAAACCAGAACTATGTATAGCATCCTCATTCAACTTCAATTTTAATCTTCCTCCCTGGCTATCAGTGAATGCAAAATATTTCAAGATAAAGCAATATTGTCCTCTTCAAAACAGATGTTTATTCATCATTATACCATCGTCAGGTAAAGAACTGTCCTCAACATTAACGTCTGCGAAGATAACGCTGCATCTATACCAGCCATCAAAATGTTACCAGTATATACAAAAGTTACAGAAGGCCAACCAAAGAATGAATTTATGAAAAGTGATAAAACAGTGAATATCTTATTTAATCTTTACTACAACGTTCTAACATCTAGCATAAAAACAAATCAGAAAATACATCTTCATCGAAAAAAGTAAAGATTAACCATCCCAGTACTTAAACTACAGAGAATAAAACCAAGAAGAACTCCTGAAAAAAGCTAACAAAGAGAAAATAATTTTTTTGGTAAATAATAACATACTACCACTCCTGAGAGTAGGTAATTTGATATCTTAACATTCCTTTCTCTCTCTCCAGTGACTCACAAGTCTTAGAAAGTGTCAAACCACTTTTCAGAGGCAATAGGGTGTAAGGCACAGAAACAGCGATGCGAAACTCGCTTGTAAACATAATCTCTAAAAGAAAAGCCCGCTGCCTAAACCAGTACTTATTAAGGATCTAAAATGCAACGATTTGTATCGCTCTATTGCATATCACTTTTGCGCGCAAACTTACTAATGCTTCACCTCTTCATACATCGCCAAAAAGCTGAAGGAAAAAAAACCAGTTGATCAGTAACGATTAAATTACTCATGTCTCTTAACTACAAAAATACCTAGTAAAACAAAAAGAAGTAGATGATTTATGACCAACAAGTAGTTTTCAACGTTCTGTCTAACGAGATAGCCACATCGCTAAAAAATGCCAAAAAACGCCCCTAAATCATTGATGAAAATTGTTTCTTGACATTACTGCCAGTCCAAATAAAATGTATGACTACGACTGCTTCCTTATCAATTACATAGACAATGTTTATTCTAAGGAAAAATATTCCTAACTTTTTAAGAAATTTCATCTTATATCAAAAAATTAAAAACTATTATTTCTAACTAGTTCAAATTTTCTTAAAAAAATGTTTAGAAAAAAAAAAAACAAGACAAAGGTGCGCTTCTTGAAAAAAGGAAGCTAAAAAAGTCAAACTCTCAAACACACTCTGCACAGAAGTGCTAAATGTTACAGCAGATCTAGTATTTACAGACGACGTTAACAGCAATGAAAATCGAATAATTTAGAATAGTAATAAGCAGTGACGACACAGTAATGAAACAAATAAAAAGGTGCGTACGCTAAAAAATACAATGCAGTGATAGTATTCACCGAAAAATCAAACCATCCCAAAAAAATAAAGAAAGAAAGAAAGAAACGATCTAGCGAAGGAGCTTTGAAAACAGGATGAATCTTCTAGTTCCTCTAAAGAGATATAAGCCAAAAAAACTTCAAACCGTAACAAAGGTCGATTTCTCACTGAAAAACCGCCAAATCTGGTAATAATTAGGATTAAAAAACCAAGTTTTCTTAGATTTCTCCGACTTAAAATGCATAATTAGCTTTTTTTACTTCCTTCCGCGTTAAGAACTGTGCAACTGTTCGCAATTTCCTTCAGGATTCTAATTGTTACAGCAATATCCCCTGCAGTAATGTAATTTATAACAGTTGCATAATTATCAAGATACTCTATCTAATTATACTTTTGGCACTTGATTGCAGTAATGTGGTTTAGAAAAACTTTAACAATTGCACCTGTAGGTACGCAAGTAAGTATCCTTTCGTGGTAAGGTACGATGTAGAGAAGCTTGAAACGGCTATGCACCTTCCTTCTGATCTAAAAAAGATGTGTTGGAGGACAGTACCTCTTAAAATGAAGAACTAAATTAAACGAGTGGCGGATTTATAAGTTATAATACTAGTAACTGGTAATGAACATTTAATTTCCGCTTCTGCCAAAAATTCAGCAGAAGGCCGAAAAGAATGATTCACAGCTTCATTACTCTTCATGCCTTTTTCCAGATGCTTGTTAATTTAAGGAAAGATTTTTTTCAGCCTAAACCGCGAGTGGGCTCCAAAATCAGCAAAAGTAATTGGCGTTGGGCAGGCAATGGCACTCCGTAGCAGTAAAGTGTTAGCTTCATTGGTAGAACTATAGAAAATTTAAAAAACAAGTGAAAAGTTTTAGTAAAGCATTTCCTTTTGGCAGAGTAAACTTCTTTCTAAAAAGCTTTCATACATACACGGAGTTTTATAATATCTAAGAGGAAAGCCTTGCATCTTCTCCTGCCTAATCCCAAACTCTTGAAAAGTAAAACTATAGACTAAGTGACTAAAAAAACAGAAACCACTGAAAATTCCACAGAAAGGTCAGAAAAAAAAAGGTTAAGTTGTGTTTCCTAGTAACTTAAAAATGAAGTAGAGTAGCGATTACCATCAAATAAAGAGGGAAAGAGCTTGGCTAAAGAAGTGGGAAAATCAAATGATAAGAAGAAAACCAGAGCCTTTAAAAACACATTTAACAGAAAAACGATATATGGAATACAAGGGAATCGCTTCAAGCTGTCACTGTTAGCACAGTGAATATGACAATACTCGCGTTCGTCTCTAATTTTATGTCCAAGAATTTTCGTGACAGGACCCGAATTACGGTAGTGCGGCGGGCCCGGCGACCTATGAAAATGCTGGCTTGCGTTCAAGTTAAGGTGTATTTACCTGTCTAATATCAAGAGTTTTGCGGAGATTTTGACATGTTTCTCCACGGCAGACTAAACTTCAATGATTCTTGAGGCCACTGTCGAGATATTTGGTGAGATGTGAAGTGATAGCTGATTTTGTTTTTTACTACCTGTATTACTTTAGTTCCGGAAATAACTTTGTGTTGCGCGAAAACTGTACTTTTTTTTCTTTTTTTAGAATCTGCCAGGTATTATGTTTTTTGGGAAGTTTAACTAGACTCAGGTCCCATCTGGGTTTTTTATTAGACCAGTTAGATGGACAAGTAGACTTTGCTGTGAATGGCCCTTTTTACCGCTTAGAATTTAATTAGCAATAAGTATTTTTGAGAA